AAAAAAAAAAAAAAAAAAAAAGAACTAGAAAGGAAATAGAGAGAGAGAGAGAACAAAAAAAGAAAAAGGGAAAGGAAAGAATTTCTGCATGAAGTGTTGCTGATAATTTGATGAAACACTGCACAGTGCATCTTACAGTTGATCAGTACTGCAATTTTTTTTTTTGCTCTTCTAGCTTTACTACCTGTTGCCACTGTTGCTGCTTCTAGTACGGCTACGGGAATTGCTATCGCTACTGCTTACTGCCATTATCCATAGCTGCTGCTGCCGCTTTCTGTATACGTCTTGCAGGCAGTCCAGTCTACGTACTTACGGGCCACAACACTTAAGACCAGATCAACAGACAAGACAGCTGCCACAAAAATACAGCTGCTTTGAAGGAGATACAGACGTTGGCTGTTGGTAAAACACCGAGACTTGAGGGGGAGGCTCCTGGAAGGGGCGGCTTACCGGCCTGAGATAAAGCCAAGCGGCTGTGGGGGCGGACTGTAATCGCAGGGATTTGTTCAGGCTCAACTTCGAGCGTGAAAAGTGAGAAGATCGGCAACTGGGCGCACAAGCTCTGAGCGTTCGTTTCTGGCCATCCGTTAAGCATGTCTAACACAGGTAATCGTTCACAATCACTGTGTCTCTGAGTGTCACACACTGTGTTTGTGTTCTAATGCTGATTACTTTAAAAGATGTTTCCATTTTTGGTTTAGCTGATAGCTAATTAATACATTCGAAAAAGGTAATATATCATTTAAAAAAAATTGTTTTTTTACTTTGAATACGGTATTGTAACGGTATTAAAAAACCAGACAATTTTTATAGCTTTCAATTTTTCCGTCTTTTATTATTTTTCTTTTCCTATCTGGCAGTGTTTTTTTTTTCAACTTTTCCATTTCTTTCTCTCTCTTTTTTTCTTTAATTTAGTTGGAAAAAGCGTCTTTTTTTCATTTTCATTTTTATTTTTTTTTCTAATTCATGATACGATAAAATTTATTTGTTATAATTTTCTACTTTTGTTATTCTTTCTTTGCGATTTGGTGGTAATCCGCTGTTACTGTGGTTGGTTTTGTCACACCTCAAATACTACCACCATCGACGATAAAAAACAGTGACGGTGGCTAAGAAATTGATAAAAAGTTAGTCTTTTTTTGTAAATAAAAATAGTTTTTGCCGTGTGTTCTGAAAGCACTGTATGTTGCTAGACGAATTGAAGAAAAAAAAAAACATTAAAGTTCTCATAGTTTTAGGTTTTTTTCAAAGTAAGAGACATAGAAAAGCTTAAATTGATTGAACTTTTCTCTCTTTGTTTATCCTCGTCTGCTGAACAGAGTACTTTCATTTTTGTAATGTTTTAACTGTCGTCTAATCGCTTTGTCTAAAAAAAAAAAAAGAAGGAACGCTGTTGGAGAGGGGAGGATGGCGGAGAAAGGGGAAAAATACGGCGGTTAAACATCTTTTCTGGTATCAGTTTTCTGGTGTTTCTACATGCTACAACTGTTGTTGATCTGCTATTGGTGATAGGAATCTGGGATAGGGAAAACGAGTTTAAATTGAAGACGAGAACTTATTGTCTACGGTTTACTGTTACTAGTATTCATTTTCTTGTTCCGCTGTCTTCACTTTCCTAGTTTTATAGGATTTATATTCAGGAGTGTTTTGAACAAAACCTAAGGAACATTAAAAAACAAAAAACGGGTGCAAAAGCTGTATTTTTTAAAAGAAATTGAGAGTAAAATACATTTTCTGCCACTTAAAGTCGTTTTTTCATTTCTTTTGTGTTACTTTTGTTGTCTCTTCTTTTATAAGCTCTTTTGCTTTCTCCAAAATCTGCCAGTAATTTTGCTGAATTGGAAGCAATCGTTTAAGCGGCAGATGATCTTTCGCTATCTGAAAAGCTAATAATGAGAGAAGAAAGGCATTTGTTTTTTTTTTCTCTCTGTACAGTGGCTTTTTACTTTTCAAGGTTTTAATTTTTTTTCTGTTTGTATATAGGTGTAGTAAAAATTGTAAGTGATATGCATAGTGGTACAATGTTGTTTATTTAAAACAGAAAAAAAAAAATGAAAGAGAAAAAGCAAAGCAAAAAAGCAGAACCGGTTGAGGTTTTTTATGATCAAAAGGGGAAAAAAAAAGTAAGAAAAAACTTCTGGAGTTTATTGAATAAACTGCTAAATTTCTATCAATCTCTAAACTGCCGTCAACTACTTATCGTCTTTAATATCTTAATTTCAGAAAAAAAAAAATCTATCAACACTAAAAGTTTTGTTTGCTTTTCGCCAGCTTGGTTTTTGCTTTCATCAGCTGTTAATTCAAATTTTTGTTTTTTTTTTTTGTGCTGAGCGGTATAGTTGTGTGTGTGTGTGTGTGTTTTTTCCTCATTTTATTTAGCTGTTCAATCTAAAACATCTTCAGCCTCTGAGAGCGTAATAATGCTTCTGATTTCCTCAACAACATCGTCATCATTATCACTACCACAACATATTTCACCTTTCTGCTTTTGTTTTCAATTAAATATATGTTTTTTTTTCTGTTTTTCTGAAAATTTGTTATTATACGTTGGATAAATGTATTGTTGTTGTTGTTGGTGGTACAGCTAAGCGGAAATTCTATTGAACACATTTTAAACTTGCCAAAATTTAACAGGCTCAACTTAGACTAGTTGTTTCATTGAAAAAATTCAGATAGTGATAGTGTTTTTGAAGCAAATTTTTTTGCTCAATACTGTACAAAAATAGTTGCCAGAGAATTTTTAGCAATTTCCTGTCAAATCTGTAACAAATTATAGTTGGTCAAAAGTTTAACTGCTTTTCATTACCGTGTTTTTTTTTTTTTTCGTATAATAAGAATATGACGCAAATGAGAGAGGAAAAAATAATTTTTTTGAAACATGATTGTTCAGGAAGCTTAACTAAACCGATTAGTGTTCAGTTTTTGTAATTCAGCACCATGCTAAACAGTGAAAAGAATACCCATTTAATTGGTGGTGTCTGGATGATTCATAAACCGTGAATTCAGAAGTTTTTGATTGAACTGCTTTTTTTTGTACTATTTTGTAAGAACTGTTGATATCAGCCGACAAAACCTCTACCCTGGTTTAGTGTTTACGCGGCAGAATAATTTTGGTTTCCTCAATTCTCACTAAACTAAGAAAGATTAACTCCGAAAAACTGTCTATTTGGAGTGCCTCAGGTAAACGGAATGTGAAATAAATGCAAACTCAAAGTGGTTAAATAAACAAAGAAGGGAATGCAACAACTACTGCCACGCTGTATTAGTCAATCAGACTCTTCTACGCAAGTAAATGATAATTTCAGAAATTTTTTACGTGAATCTAAGATACTAATGTTTAAGCGTGTTTTTTGTGTAAAAATTTTAGTCATTATAATTTAATAAGACATCAAAAAAAAATCAGATAAACTTCATTGATTTGCTTATACTCTTAAAATGTCTGAAGACGAGCCTGGTTACACAGTGAAACATTGGAAAACTACTTAACTTTTGAATACTTCTAAAGAGTTTGCGCGTTCTACAAACACAGTTTTACTTTATTCACAATTCTGTTTGTACTCTTTCATCCTCTAATGTCACCAAAACAAAATTTTCAAATTTTGCTCAACAATACTCAACCAAGAAGCTTGAATAACGTATCTGCCCAAATTAGGACCGTTATTAGGATATACTGGCTGGGGAAAAAATTTACAAAGTAGTTCAAAAAAAATCAAAAAAAAAGACACAAATTTAACTGCACAAAACTCAAAAAAAAAATTTGTTGACATGACAATCGGATTTAGATATTAAATCATTCTTTTTTCTCTCATTTTATACACTAAGAGTTTTGTTCATTCAGCTAAAATGTTTCAAGATGGCACTTCTTAAAGCAACAAATGAATCAACTTACAGTTATATGTCTAATGATTTATTTATTAAAAAACGAACTTAAAGTCTGCAGATACTTTTTTCATTTTTCCAACAAACACTTCACAAAAGTTGAAAGTTTTTAGCTGAACCGTTTTGTAAAAATTAGCCGCGATATGTAGCACTCATACAGCCTGCTGAGTTAAAACCAAACTTCTAGCATCTTAACATTCAATGAGGGTCAAAGAAAAACTCTTCATATATTTGCACTTGACCAGAAAAAAATTTATTTAAACTACATATAGAACGACATGTTTAATACTTAGGTTTACAACTAAATAGTATACTTTTTCATATACTTCTTATAAGTAAAACTTATTTTATTAAATTTAAGCAGTTAGAATCTAACTCAATTTTTTTATTTTTCAGGAAATGTCATTTTTTCTGTATTACCTGATTTTCACCCACAGTAAACTAATTCTAGCTAAAGAAAAGTGACGAAAATTTTGTGACATTAAAAGTGTAAAAGTTGTAAACACCAAAGACATTATTCAAAGAAGTATACTACTGATAAATATTTGAATAAATATTATTTAATCAGCATTAGATTTTTTCACTTAATACCTCACAACCGTAAAAAAATTGATAAATTCTGCTACGTTTTTAGACCCTTTAAATTCATCAAATAATCTTTTTTGAATTATAGCTGAAAGAGTTGCCAACAGCGAAGAAGAAGAGGAAGAAGAAGAAGAAGAAGAAGAAGATGAGGAAGTTCCAAAGTTTAAAAAATCTTCAGGATTTCGTATGGTGGCTCAAAAAGCCCCAGAAGTTCAACAAAGTTCACAGCCGATTTTAAATCAATCCGGAACTCAACAAGGTAACTCATTCAACCTTCTTTGAAAGTCATTCCACAAACAAGAGCAAGCCATTTATCTATAAGTTAAAAACAATACAAATAGAGAAGAAAGTGAAAAAATTAGATCAGTTCATAACAACTGATTTTCAGAAGTAGTTGTTTCGGAAGTTACCAAAAGAACTATGACGAAAGAAGAGCAGGTTGTTCAAGAAAATAAAGTTATCAATAAAGATGGTGAAGTCACAAGTCACCATGTTACTGTAACGCAACACTCAACCACACAAAGTTCGGAAACTGAAAAGCCCAATGAAGCCGAAGAGAAAAGGCAGGCTGAACTACGGCAAGCGCAACAGGAAGCGCTAGAACGAGCAAAACAAGCGCAATTAGAAGCGCAGCGTCAAGCTCAAGCTCGGGCACAGCAAGAAGCTATTCAGCGAG